CCCCAAAACCCCAAAACCCCAAAACCCCTAAAAGGACCTAGAAAATTGAACAAAATTAATTTTTGAGGAAGAGAAGAGTTATTTTGATGTAGAATTATGATTTAGAATCTTATTTTGAAGGCTTTAAGGTATTTCTTGATATGATTTTGAACTTTTTGAAATGATTTTACTCAAATTTGAACACCTATTTCCTGGATTAAAATTTTCATATCTCTGCTCAACTCTTGAATTTGTTAAAGTTTGTTGCACTCTTGCTGAGTTGGATTGTAACGCCTTAAACAATGATCTGCTGTCATTCGAGAACTTCTGAAGTAGATTCTTTATTGAAACATTTCTGAATTTTTCTTCGTTGCATTCCTAAAATTGTCTAATCCCTCTTACCTTCATGATGCTTATCTTTAGATTATTTTAACTTCATTTTTGTTTGCTTCTTTTTGCTTGACCCTCTTCGCTCTACTGGGCGAGCTGAGTTTCAAACATTTGACTTCTTTGGATTCGATTTGCTTAGGACATATTTTAGATGACTACTACGAACTTTTGGAAGCCGTTTTTGCTATTTTTATTGAAACAAAAATACCTCAACTCTTACAGTTGTGGGTCCAGCATCAATTGTGTCATAAGCCTGTTTCTCTTTTATTTTGATATTGTCATTTTTATTTAGTATTTTCATAACTAAATGAGCCTAGAAAGTTAAGGAAAGCAGTAACTATAGCAGTTCCTTGTATTTTCAGAGACATCATGGTAGCTCCGGTTAGTGTTAAATTTATTGCTCCATTCTGAAAAATGATGCCTCCGTTCTACCTCTACAGTATTAATTTATAACTGACTGTCAACGACTTTTTGGACTTCGTGTCTCCATTCACTTGTGCTTTCCCTTATTGAGCTCTTTACTTTCTCACGTAATTCATTTGCTCTCATTCTGAGGCCTTTCCGTTCCCTGAATTCCGAGTCGATAGTGGGTCTTTGGACACTCTGTCTTGTAAGACTGTAGGAGATGAAATCAATTTTGGGCGACTCTCACTTCCTAAGAGCTCTCATTCTCTGTATTGAGCTCCCTCCTGCTTTCATTCTTCCTTGGTACTGCTCCAAGAAGGTGTTCAGGTTACGGTATTCTTCGACGACTATAATTTAGGTCTATAGTTACTACTGCTAACTCTTTTCTTATTCTGAGAACTTTTCTTCATATAGCGGCTATTTTTATCTAAAAATCAGCCATGTTTTACTTTCTGGGTTATCAAGTCTTTTGATTAAGTACGACCTGGACATCTTTTTGAGCTGTTCTTTGTACCCTTTCTTCTGGAGGTCTTCCTTGAGCTTATTCTAAACAGTAAAAACCTGTCATTATCGAAAGAATGACCACCCGGAAAAGCTGATTTACTCATATCGTTCATGACGGAGTCTGCTTCTCTTTGGATCTCTGAGGGGTCAGGGCTTTCCTCACTTTTCTTGCTGACGACTCCCAGGTCTGTGTTTAGCGGATTTTTGGCAGGTTTTCTTCCTATGCATGGTTATTTTCTTGGTAATTTTGGAAGGAAAAGGATTTGTTACTGAGGTAGTTTGGGCTGTGAGCAGCTTTGGGTTTGTGCAGCTTTTTGAATTTTACTTTGGGAGTCAGCTCTTTCTAGAAGGAGGGTTAGCGGAGGTCGTTACGGATTGAGTGAGTTTTTGATCATTGCTAAGACTCATTTTTATAGTTGTGATAAATTTATTTACAGCTTTTTAGTCATGGAAGGGGTTTTGGGGTTTTGGGGTTTTGGGG